TGGTACGAAGAAAAAAAAAGGGGGGGGGGGCAAAAAGGACCATCCAAACTCCTCCCTCTATTATATTCTCCCCCTCCTTTCATTCTCCCGTTTCACGAACACGTTTCGCGCAGCTGTGCCGTTTTTCTCCGTGGTAAAAGGGTTGAAATGTCGTTCAACCGCGTGATTCGAGAGCGTCGAGTGCTTTTGTCCCGAGATTTTCGTGTCTTTGAAATATAAATTTATTGTACATTCGCGCGTCCAACTGCGTTTTAACATCTTTAAATGGATGGCATACTTTGTATCCACGTATATGCGGAATAAGAGAGGAAATAAGTTATTCAAAATTCTTGTCTTATATTTTTTTCGTCGCACAACGATAACTTCCATCGCTTATCTTGAGCATCACACGTATCCTCGATTTCAAGGTATAACAAATTCGTTGATTGAAACTTTAATTCGATCGCAATCCGATTGATTCAAACTCCTATTGTATTCAATTCATGGTTATTGACTCGATTTGGACAGAATGATAAACGTGATAGCATTTCTGCATACATCAAGCGATGCGATACAATTTGACCAAGAATTGATCTCCATATAGGTTACAAATAGCTATGTAGGAGTTTCAATTAAGGAAACCGCGATAAAATAGAAATCCAATTTTGATGAAACAATATTCCTTAATAATAATTTTTTCAAAGTGCGACAAGAATTTTTTCGTAAGTTTTTATTCCATTTTAAGAAAACGAAATAAAGTAGAAAATAGGAACATCCACTTTTCACTTTTCAATTAAAGTAAAATATTGATTTTAGTTTCCAAAGATAGAGGATGGGATACTCCTATCTCGATTGGCATTTTAATCACTCTTTGACACTTTTAGAGCTCGTCACACCGGACTCAGGAAATGTTACTTTCGTTCAATGAAATTTCAACCCGTTGTAAATTTAATTAAATCAATGAAACTTTTAGAAATATTAATTAGATTAAATATTTTGTAATCATTCAAATCTCTTTTTGTAATTTATATCTCTTTTGAGTTTAGATTCAAACAATTGCATGGATTTAAGCGATTTCTCGAACAATTTTTATTTGATTCTCCTTTTATATTTTCTTTCCTTTAATTATCAAAATAATCTTCAATTTTTCATGATTATTTTTTTATTAGATAAGAAAAGATTTTGCTTTCGATTTTCATTGAAGTCATCTCGATATCTTTTAACTGATACACAACGAAAATTATATATATATTATATAGATATATATTTTCACAAATTTCTTCAAAATAAAAAGAATATAACGTTTTTATATTTTTTATTATATTGTTATATTGTTAAATTTCATTTCTCATTCTCATTCAATGCATCTATGGAGCAGAGTGATAACGACGATCAATTTATGAAACTCTATATTATAATATTTCCGGACACATATGGTCCATAATGGCCATTTATCTAAATATTATTGTAATAACGAAATGAAATCCTAAAAGCGAACCGTGCAAATCCTTTTTAAACGTTTCAGACATGTGCAATCCCCACTTTGATAGCAAAAGATAAAAGACCTGACATAGGTTCGAGTTTTTCGGATTTGTCCTAGTTTTTAGAACTTTTAGTGGAATCCGAGATTTTTCAGCAATGATCCGGATTTCTCGATTTTACTTTGAGATTTATCTTTAATAATTGTCACAATCATAAAAAATAATTCTTATTTTTGTACGATTATCATAATCAAGCCTAATTAATTTACTTATAATATATAATTCTCTTGTACAAACAAAAGACATATCGAAATTTAAAAGATTAAAAAAAAAAATATAGAAATGAATTAAATTCTATTAAAACGACCATGCAAAAATCCATGTAAAACTTGGAAAAATTTCAGCTCTCTGATAAAATGACACTTATGTTCCATTTCTTGTGAGAAATGCAAGGTAAAATCTCAAAATTACGTAATCCTGATACGTGGAAATATCCAAAGCGGATAATATGCAACGATATGAGAATATAAGAATGTAGACACGTAAATGATAATGCACGTGATGGAGATCGCATGCCAAGTATGTATTTCCATGTACCGAGGGACCAGATGCAAAAGTTCATTCTGGAATAACAGCATCCGCCAGCATTGTACGTCGGGATGCGCAATCTTCATTAAAATCCCTGCTGCCTCGAGCTTTTTCTTCGTAAACCAACAAAAATAGGGAGAACGAAGAAAAATACTTCCTTCTTTTTTTTCTTCTGCTTCTTCTTCTTTTTCGTTTTTTGCCTCCTGATATGCACGTCAAACTGTCGTTACGAAGTCAAAAAGCCGAGCATGCATCGCTCATAAAACGGTGTTTCGAGAGTACCAATGGCTACTCCGAAAACGGTAACGAGAAACGGTAACATCGATGTAAAAGCACTGTTCTCGTAATTACACGAACTCCACGATGAACTCTGCCACGTGCAATTCTCCTTCGAGTTAACGGCGCGTATCTTGTTTCTCTCACAATACAGAGAAATAAAATAAAACGAAATCTATGCGCAAAATTTATTTATTCGAAGATTATTAATTGTAATATTTAAGTGCGTAGTTTGTTTTGTTCACACGTGCACGAAATGAAAGAGTTTTTTTTTATTTATTAATAAATTTCGAAGAAATCCTTTATCATCGTTGATTACAATGCGTATTTCGTTCTAAGAAAATTTTTTCTTGCAATCAGTTTTATCAATTATATCGATTTTAATATATATACAATTAAAATTTAGATTATTATTTTATTGTCACGTTTACTTATTCGATAAAATTTTTGTTAATAAATAAATGAATTTTTATACTTTTGTACGTATTTATAAATAATACAGATTATTATTTATAATCGATATTAAGATTTTGTAGTATACAATGTATTTACTTAGAGCACTGGAATTTCAACGTTGAAAATTGCATCGTTGAATTGCACAATACAAAATTATTGTTATTCGTTTTATTTTTCATTTGAAAACGAATTTCTTTTTCTTTTTTTGTTACGCTTCTTTCGGGCCAATATATCCAATCCGATTGCAATAAAATTTCCGGCAAACTATCAAACATATCGAAGGGATGTTTTCGATTTCTTTCGCATGGCGATAATCAATTTTCGATTCGTAATATCTGTAATACAATTTTGTCATGAAAAGCATTTAAATTGCTTTTTCTGATTGTTTCGATAAACGATTCGGATCAAAATTGAAATTAGTTTTCCATCGATATATTATATTCAACGATTTCATCGTTTTGAAAATAAAGAAAAATCAAGGATCCTCTTTTTTTTTTTTTTTTTTTTACGATGCCAACGGTGTTAGAATTTTATTTTTCTTTTTACATACAAACTAATTGCCCGTTAAAAAGTTAAGAGATGCAAACAACGTAAAATTTAATTTATTCTTTATGAAAGGCTTTTGTGTGTTAACTATTTTTCAACAGTATATCGAATATCATTTTATAACTACGATCGATATAGGTATATACATGCACGTATAAACTTGACACGAATAATAGAGAACATCAATCTTTATTAGTTTCCCGTAATCGAAACTCCCGTAATGATTTCTCGATCGTTCAGTAAAATTTATATTGTCATACAGTGCAAATATATTATCGTTTAGAACAATTATGGTTAATAAATAAAATATGGACAGTGATGAATGGAAAAAAAAAAAAGAAAATATATTTTGGAATGTCGAATATATTTCATATATTCAAAGGATATTCGTCAATTCGAGTGATTTAATTTTATCACGTTTCTGTTTCAGTCCACTTTTGACCCGACAAAGGTGATGCTATATACGTTGAACTTCTTCCTTTTCTGCCTGAACGTAAGTTTTAATTCAGAAAGTAAATTATTTCAAAAGTAAATTTACGAAGAATAATTGATTCGCACGGAACCATTGTTTACCATTACATTATCGCTTTTAATTAATTTCTAACACAATTTTCTACATCGCAAGCTTTTTAAAATATCACGTCGTATCACCTCAGTTTCACCTCAGTTTCCATCGACATTCCGTTTTTCCGTTTCTCGCTTCTGATTTTTATTTTTAATTATATTCAAACCTAGGTAGAAAGAATGTGTTACGTTATCAGATGACCAGGCACCGGATTTCCGGCTATATCCCACGTATCCTTTACTTTAGATATATTCCGTGTTGTGCGTGATCTCCCAGTATCAAGAATATGTGGCCGGTCGAGGCACTGCCGCGGACGACTACGAATACAGGGTCAGTATTCTGAGACTCTCTCAACGGAAACAGGAACGAGATAAGGGACGAAAAGTTAAGTGTATTAACTGTATTGTCGAATAGTTAGAGTACAATACACGATGAGAATAATCGTGAAAATTGTAGGACACGCGATAAATTTAAATACATAGGGCATTGTAGGAAGTGAAATTTAATATTCAACGAATTTTAGTGATTAAAAGAGAGATATAACTGACTTGGATATAATGGATATAAGAAAATTAGATTGATGAAGTATAATAAAATTTCACGTGTAGATTCATGCAAATAATAATAAAAGAGATGTCAATGTTGTTTTATTACACAAAATTTAGATATGGAATATTTGTATTGTATTGTATTGTATACTAATATGCACCCTTTAAAACGATATTACGCAACAATTGTATGAAATCCAGAAAAATGTTGTTCCTATCACAGTTTTATTTAGGTTACGAAGAATCTCTCTGAAACGAATCCAATTGTGTTTTTATCATTCCGGAAATTCTGCTTTCCCAGAAAGAAATTACAGCGAAAAGATCTCGAGAGCATATCGAACAATCGTATTATCCAAATGGAAGCTTTATGTCAATCAGTCCGAATCTTTGTCTGATATCGCCATTCTTTTCTTACGCTCTTCTTACAATATCCTCAGAGAATTTTATTATTTCGTTTTATTATTTCGCAGTAAAATCTCATGTCTATAGAATATTAATTTGAAGTCTCCGTTTGAATTTGAAGAATAATGATATATCTATCTCTAAAATTTAATACGTGTGCTCTCTATATTTTATAAATAAAATATATCTTCAAATATGGTGCTTCAAATACTACAACAAATACTACACGATTGAAAATACGTTAATAAATATGTCAATGTGCATAATAACAATCAGTATGTTATTATTATCGAAAAATCAGTATTTTTTTAACTATAAAATTATTCGCCAAATCACAGTAACACGATACAACTATACATATAACGCATATCTAGAATACACTTCGAAGAGAGAATTTGATAGTACCTTCAAACATTGATTAATATAGATTACGTTACTGATGACGTTATAGTGTACAGATCAGGCTCCCATTATTAACTTGTCGGATCAATGTCGACGATATAGATTAAGCATCATTCAAAATAATCGACATGTGGGAAATTTACTTTTGATTTCACTCTCAATTCGATCGACAAACGATATTCAGAAAACGTTAACTTTTTAAGAACAATCTCAATGCAAATCATAGGTATAAAAACTCGATTCAAGCACATGTAAAAGAAAATTCATTTGCAATTTTCGTAATGGCGTAGATGAAATTACCTCGAACGATCTCCAATTCCGATTAAAAACTCTTCTCGACGATACAGAATACTTTGAATACAGAGAACTCGGTTATTCTACGTTAAAGTTTTAAAGAGAAAGTGAAAAAGTCTTCGTTTGCTCGTTACCTTTTACCCAAAAAAAGACGGTCGCTTCGAAATTCAATTATAAAATGGATCTTATGAAGCGACCTTTAAAGGTTCCAGCAGTGAGATATGCCGTTCAACCGCCAACTACAACCGCTACGTCTTGCCTGAGTTCTCGTAGGGCGGCAACCAACAACGAAACCAAAGCAACCGCAACGCCAACGCAGAGCCCTACCACGGCTCAGAACACCCTCTCCTTGGATAAGAGTCCTGTCACAGGACGATCATCGAGAAAACACGTTCAATTCCCTGACACAACGTCCGATAATCGGAAGGGAAAATCCGGTAAGCGCTCGCCTCCCGCATATTCTAAATCATAATTTAAAACATACGTGTTTCTTGAAGATTTTGTTTTAAATTGTTTTGAATAAATAAGAAATTGCAGAAGTTGCGAAGGTAAATTTAATTGGACTTATTGGACAAACGATCTTATATTATTTAAAACGTTATATATCGTGCATTGTTGTTGTTTTAAAAATTAATTTGGTATCTTTTTAAAATAAATTTACAATTTATCTATAAAGAAATTCTGCAATTTCTCTCTTTCTTTTTTAAATAATTAACGTAACTTATGATTAATTATTTTGTTCCATCTTTCACGCATATATCTTTGATGTAACAAAGTTATCGATGCTTTTTTTATTGTTCTCTTTCGATGATATAAAGTAAAATGTTACACAGTCGTTATTATTGATGCAAAGACGCCAAATTACGTTAATAAGTAAGGAAAATCAGATTGAATGGCGATGCAAATCCGATAGTGATAGAAATAAACTTCAGAGATACAATGGCATATGGTATGGAATTTTCAATTTATGCAGCATTATCTGGAATTGATCAGACAACTATATCATTAAGTAAATTCGTATTGATACAAATCGATCGAAGAGTAGACTAGTTATTTCGAGCAAATAGGATAAATTCGCTATGAAACGTTTGAATTGTTACTTAAATGTATGAACATGTATGTTGACATCAGCAAAACTCGCTTTACCACTTATGGGAACAGAATTCCATTGCCTTTGATCTTGAAATTATGTGCCCGCGTGTAACGTGTGCTTTTACGCTTTCCTGTCTGCGTCTCGTGTTACTAGCACTTAACCCTTTCACTCTCGCGCTAAACAAATCAACAATTTCGAAACATCTCGTTGTGCACGTGTGTCTATGTGTATATATATGTTTCAGAAGTTCCAATCACGGTGTTGGTGCTTAAAATGGAACCAGAGAACGAATACACGACATCATCGTCCTCGTTGAAATTCGAGGAAACTATGACGATCGATCAAGTTCTTCGATCTCAGAAAACCAGCAATAGCCAAGATACCTGAAGTGTCCAAAGAATCTATCTTTGTAACCGACTGTGAACTCTTAATGGCAAGATTTTCTTATTGCCATTTTATTGCTGGTACTTTCTACTTGCGAATGGTCCAACATCGCCAATGAATAATTTATCTTAAGGGATGTTCTCAAGTTGGTCTGTATGTGAGATAAGAGAATTAAGATCATCAATGCGTTAGTTCGCTCAAAGCAATTCGTATCACTGATTTAATAGATTTATCAACTTTGCGAGTTTCAAATAATGGTATGTCTCGATTCGATTCTTTAACGGATTCTTCGTGTTTCTCTTGTTTACGAAATTCGTAATAGGATAAATTTGTACATTTGGATAAATTGATTGGGATTGTCCAAATGATGAGATAATTATCTCGTGAAAAACTGTCGTTCGTCGTGTTTTATGCAAAGAATAATAACGTGAGATTGATGACTTATTGGCACACGAGAATGAATTGAAATGCTAACATATGTTCTTTGGGTTATCGCGATAGCCATAGTGTATAGAGTGGTCAAAGGCGATCAAATCGAATGTAACGATAAACGTTTACACAACCGTCGATCAATATTGACACCATTCTATTACCGCTATAATGAACATTGATCTTCCAATTGAAGATGGACGCTTCGATAACACGTGAACTATTTCAGGAGAAACAATAGCTTAATTCTCTGTTACTGAAATGAATTTTAGATGAACATGCCCCTATGCTTGCAAAAGAATATAAAAATATATCATAACAGAAAATTGATGTGACAGAAAATGTATGAAGTTGATCAATTGTATTTTTGTATTGTAAATTTTTAGACAAATGTATATTTTCGGGAGAAAAGAGAATATTCTCTTGTTTTATAATGCAATTTTTTAAAAATCATCCATTTCGTATTCCGTCGATTTAACGCTTGCCCCTTGGTTTC